GTGAATGAGTGAGTAGATGAGTGAAGGGGTGAATTAATGATTAGTTGAATGAGCGGATGAGTGAGTGATTGGTTGAATGAGTGATTGGTTGAGTGAGCGGATGAGTGATTGGTCGAGTGAGTGATTGATTGGTTGAGTGAGCGGAGGAGTGATTGGTTGAGTGAGCGAGCGGATGAGTGAATTAGTGATTGATTGAGTGAATGAGTGATTGGTCGAGTGAGTGAATGAGTGATTGGTCGAGTGAATGATTGATTGGTTGAGTGAGCGGAGGAGTGATTGGTTGAGTGAGCGGCTGAGTGAATGAGTGATTGATTGAGTGAATGAGTGATTGGTCGAGTGAGTGAATGAGTGATTGGTCGAGTGAATGATTGATTGGTTGAGCGAGCGGAGTAGTGATTGGTTGAGTGAGCGGATGAGTGAATGAGTGATTGGTCGAATGAGTGAATGAGCGATTGGTCGAATGAGCGTATGAGTGAATGAGTGATTGGTTGAGTGAGTGAATGAGTGATTGGTTGAATGAGTGATTGGTTGAGTAAATGAATGATTGGTTGAGTGAGTGAATGAGTGATTGGTTGAGTGAATAAGTGTCGCTGTTGTTCCCTGCAGAGTGGTTGGGTTCGGGTTGTGAAGGAATGAGTGAATGAGTGAGTGGATGAGTGAAGGGGTGAATGAATGATTAGTTGAATGAGCGGATGAGTGAGTGAATGGTTGAATGAGTGATTGGTTGAGTGAGCGGATGAGTGATGACAGTCACGTAGTCACTGTAAGATGTTTTTCTCGTTCGTGTTTTTGTTTTTTTGTTTGTTGTGGTTGCACCCGATTGAAGAGCCGAATGGCTCACAGGGCTATACCAAAATCAATAAACTGAAAACTGAAACTGTTAGAGGGTCAGACGAGACGAAACGGTAACTATGGTCGCAGCAGCGTTAGAAGAGCGACACGGAGGCGCTGTACGATCGCCGTTATCACCCTCCCCGACTTAATGTATCCGCCACCTCTCTCCCGCACTGAAACCCAATACCGCAGTGTACACATTACTCCCCGTGGTACAACACACACACACACTTACCTTACTGACATACACATCCACCGCCTATACACGCATCTCGCACACACACACACGTATTACACACATCATGCCAGACGGAGACAAAGATTCCCCCCCCCCAACCCCCGTATGGCATTAAAAAAACCGTGCAGCTCGCGAGCAGCATTGTGGCACACGAGGGGCAGACGTGGCAAGCGCCACGCCCGGCCGCCTTTGTCTCCCCGGTGGCGAGGTTTGCACACCGCACCGGGTGCTCAGTTGAGGCCGAGTCGACCTAGGCGCCACACGCCCTACCGTATTGTACGAAGCGCGCCCCCCCCAACCAATGCTTCGAAACCCAAGGGTCGAAATGTGCGCCTTCTGGTCCGCAAAAGACGGCGATCGTTTTCCGTCGCTGGCGTAATCAAGTGACGTCTTATTTGAAATGGCAACATGGCTTTGGAACACCAAATCGGCCGTGGTTACGCACAAATGCAAGCGCACCGACTCTGCACAGGCTCAGGGACGCTGACTCCAGTCGAGCGCAGAGGCTTTCGCGAATCTGGCTGCTGTGCGCCTGATGATGCCGATTGTAATGTACTGCGCGAAACGTCGTACACTCGGATTGTAAATGTTGTGGCTTTGCTCTCCAACGCGCCCGTGTGCTGTGCGAGTCACGATTTGCCACGTTCTGCTTAAGCGACACAACCTTCACTAATTGGCTGTGCCGGGTGCTGGCGGGTTTGACGGCACATTTATATTTTTTGCGAGCTAACAACAATGAAACCCTATTATGGATCCTCTTCGGGTCTTTCGGTAAAGTCACGTAGAGAGAGAAAAATATTTTTTTAAAAAAATCACGACGTTTCGATAGCAACACAAACAATCGTCTTCAGGTGAAACGATACAGCAGGCGGACTGCCTCAACAGCCCACCCGCTGTATTTTGTTATTTTTAACCGCCGAAAAACCCAAAGAGTATGCATTCCTGCAGTCACGGAAGCTTTAAGTGAAGACCTATTATGGATATTCTTAGCTCTTTCGGTAAAGTCACGTTGAAGGGAAACAAAAATAAAAAAATATATAAAAAAAATAAAAATTCTCACGACGTTTCGACCATAACGCAAACGGTCGTGATTATTGTTTCCCTTCAACGTGACTTTACCGAAAGAGCAAAGAATATGAATTGCTGCAGTCACGAAAGCTTTAAATAAAAAACTTATCATGGATGTTAACTCCCTCGCCTGGTATACGGGAGGTCCGTGGGGTGGGGAGTTCGATCCCCGCCCCCGACGCCTGCTGTAGCGGGGCTCTCTCTCCCCGGGGTCACGTGGACTTTACTTACCGGCTCCTCAGCAGCGTGTGCACAAAGCCTCCCTCGCGGTCTTCCTCGTGGCCTCTTCCCGCTCGGGGTTACAGTCAAAAGTTGGGGCCGGTTGCTGGGCGGATGCTCTATATGCACAGCGAGCGCAGTTGGCTACGTACGGTGCGAAAGATGTTCAACGTACACATTTACATACTGCCCATAGACTAAACACTACCCACAGACTCAACACTGCACCTCCAAATAGCAAGGCTGGCTAGGTACGGTGCGATAGAAGTTCAACAGACACACATACTGCCCCATAGACTGACACTACCCATAGACTCAACACTACCCATAGACTCAACGCTACCCATAGACTCAACGCTACCCATAGACTCAACACTGCCCATAGATTCTAGATTTAAAGCTTTTGTGACTGCAAGGATCCATACTCTTTGGTTCTATTCGGTAAATTTTATTATTTACCTACGTGACTTTACCGAATAGAACCAAAGAGTATACTGCCCATAGACTCAACACTGCCCATAGACTCAACACTGCCCATAGACTCAACGCTACCCATAGACTCAACGATGCCCATAGACTCAACGCTGCCCATAGACTCAACACTGCCCATAGACTCAACACTACCCATAGACTCAACACTGCCCATAGACTCAACACTGCACCTGCGATGAGCACGGTTGTCTACATGTGGTGGAAAAGAAGTTGAACATACATAGAGCGGGGCAGGGCTGTACTTGTAGACTCCAACAGATATGACCGGTGGTTGATGGTCAGTCAGGTTGAGAATGTTCCCCCACCTCTCGAGCACGGCAATACCCCCGCGACTGACGCCTCGTCCACTTTGACGTTGTTTCGCAAACGCGTCACCCCAACCCCACACACTCACGTCGCTGAAGGCGCCGTCCCGTCCTTTCTCGCTATCCGTCGCCTCTCGGCCCTTGCCGCCTACTGCTGCCCTGCAAGTCGATTGATGTCGTTTCGATATTCGTCGTTGCGCCGTTCAGGAGCTCATCACCGACGTCGTTGACCGGGGATTTGCGGGCACCACGGTGGTCAGATGTTAACGGACTCGCTTGATACACAGGAGGGCGTGGGTTCGATCCAGACCCCTTGCTGTATATTTGGAGTTTGCGTGTCTCTCTCATCATCACGGTGGATAGATGTTAACTACCTCGCCAGGTATACAGGAGGTCATGGGTTTGATCTCGTCCCTGACGCCTGCTGTGTATTTGGAGTTCGCGTGCCTCTCTCATCATCACGGTGGATAGATGTTAACTACCTCGCCTGGTATACAGGCGGTCATGGGTTTGATCTCGTCCCCGACGCCTGCTGTGTATTTGGAGTTCGCGTGCCTCTCTCATCATCATCACGGTGGATAGATGTTAACTACCTCGCCTGGTATACAGGCGGTCATGGGTTTGATCTCGTCCCTGACGCCTGCTGTGTATTTGGAGTTCGCGTGTCTCTCTCTCATCATCACGGTAGATAGATGTTAACTACCTCTCTTGGTATACAGGAGGTTTATGGGTTTGATCTCGTCCCTGACGCCTGCTGTGTATTTGGAGTTCGCGTGCCTCTCTCATCATCACGGTGGATAGATGTTAACTGCCTCGCCTGGTATACAGGCGGTCATGGGTTTGATCTCGTCCCTGACGCCTGCTGTGTATTTGGAGTTCGCGTGCCTCTCTCATCATCACGGTGGATAGATGTTAACTATCTCGCCCGGTATACAGGCGGTCATGGGTTTGATCTCGTCCCCGACGCCTGCTGTGTATTTGGAGTTCGCGTGCCTCTCTCCCCGTGGTGATCGCGTGGATCTTTCTCTGGGTTCCTCCGGTTTTTCCTTCGGCATTTTTGAAGCACGCGACTCGCCGTCTCACCTTCCAGGGATTCACCGCCCGACGGCGTAAGCCGGGTTATTATTGCCGTGCCAGTTGAGTGCGGCCAAGATACAACAAGTTTTCCATCACACAGGGGTTTTTTTTGGGTTAGATCGCGTAAATATGAATGCGTCATTAAACCCTCCACCACCCGACACAGCCAATCAGTAAGGGTTTTAACATTATGAGACCTCCTTTGCCAGAAACAAGATATAGGAATAGGTTTTACCCTTTTAACTGGCACAAAAATTCAAGGACAGTCCATCTTTTTTGTTTGCATTTTGACTGCTTGTGTTGTGGTTATTGCAAACATGATGCCTTGAATAAAGGTGTCAGTTTTTGTGCCAGTTAAAAGGGTAAAACCTATTCCTACAGTAAGGGTTTGTCACGTAAGCAGACCATGCCAATTAGTTAACTACTTCGGCACACCCGATAGTGGCATTGTCTTTGTGCCGTTCGCCTCTTGGCGTTCCCTGGCCTAACGCTGGTTGAGATTAGGCCCTAAAGAAGGCTGTCTCTGGCGTAGACCAATCAGACATGATTTCTTGCAAAAGGTTTCTGTTTGGTGTTTGAACATCTTAGCACCTGTTTTATTGCCAGAAAGCGTAAAACCTTTTCTCACACCAGACAGTAAAGCCACCACGACATTTACAACTCAAGTACCGTGGCGTTTCGGCGGCAATTATCGAAGTTTCCTGCCGGATTCCAAGTTGAAGACCCCGCGCGCTGTACGGAGAGTGAAGCATCAGGCCACGCACAGCGGAGTCGCAGACTTTTACGAAGTACGGCACACTACCGAGTCAGACCTGGGTGTAACAGGAACCACTCACTGTATTCACATCAAGTACAACGGCGGAAGCGTCAAATACCCACAGAGGCTAAGCAACACGCGTGACGGTAAAAAAACACATGTACAGACATATCGAACACGGAGTAGATATTAAATATATTGAAACCAAAGCATACCATCTGGCCAGACGTATATACAAAGCAATGAACCATCTTGCCCCAGGCTACATCATTGACATGCTTCAACCACCATGTGTCCCCTCAAGTTCCCTAAGATCTGGGGATGCAAATCTTCTCTCTGCATTCCCCGGTCGAAGCTTTCGGTCGGTGGGAGATGGAGATTTTCCCCGTGTAGCCACCAGGCGATGGAACGCTCTTCCGCGAGGAATCAAGAGGGATCTCTCTGAGTCTTTGGACATTTTTGAATTGCCCCTTCAAACCTAAATTTAATAAGCTTCCGTTTGTAAATTTTTTGCTAATTTAAGAAATTATTTTTAAAATGTATTTATATTATTTTTATGCCCAGTGTCTGCTGTTGCTGTCATGTACAGTGCTTTGAGATCTTTGATGAAAAGCGCTCTATAAATGTCATTATTAGAAAACCTCTATCCGATAAGCGGCGCATTTTGCTGCATTTCATTCCATTCTGTTTTCATTACTTTTTACAAATTTGCTGTTTTCCCCGTGCTTTGGTTCAAATTCCGTTTGTGCCGATCGCTCCAACCGTTACCGATTCTCTGCTGGCCACATCCTAGCCGAGCCGGCACGGTGCACTCACGGCACGGGTGGTTTTCCACTGGCTGTTTGCCGGGCAGAGCCAGAACCAAACCCCAATAAGTGCCACGTGCGTCTCCGCTCGCTCGCTCGCCGCGTCACCCACGCGCGCCTCCGCTCGTTCACCGCGTGTGTGACGTCAGTCGGGACGCGGTGAGGATGAGCCGTCACCGTGGCGCCCACACGCGTCTCCGCTCGCTCGCCGCGTCACCCACGCGCGTCCCTGCTCGTTTCACCGCGCGCGCCAAGCCGGTCGGTACGCGGTGAGGACGCGGCGTCGGGCCGGCTCAGCATGGCCCCGGCACGGCCCGGTTGTGCAGTGGAAAACACAAATATACGAAACAATATTAAACAAAAAGTTTTTCAACGATTGAGCATTCCGGGGGGGGGGGGGGGGGGGGGGGGCGGTGAGGGGTGGACCGGCGCCGCCGTCACACGGGCGAGCGCGCCCGCACGGGCGAGCTGGCGAGCGGCGCCGTGTCGCCGAACACGTTGGCGTAGGAGGTCTTGAGGAAGTGCACGTAGCTCTGCATGCTTCGGTTCGTCGTCTCGGACTGCTCCAGGCGGTCACGCAGGTCCTGCAGGCGGCTCGCGTGCCGACGTTCCGCCTGGGGGGGGGAGCGAGGAGCGGGGCAGCCATCAGCTGCCGCGCCTTGAGAGTGGGGCGTCCCTGTGACGCTACGCGCTCTCGTGGCACCGGGCGATCCAAACCATGGAACCGTTTACGATTTACAAACGGCAGACTAAAGTATGAAAATAAACTACACAATGTTTGTGTAACATAGGTAAGGCCCACTGCGCTGTGCCGGCCTTCTTAGGCGCTGCTCGCTGACAGCGCTTCTACCGACAGTCTGTTCAAGGCTACAGGGGGGATACTTGTCTCGATTTGCCTGCGTCTGTGTGTATATGCGGTAGTGTAGCGGGGAGCGCGCTACGCTACGAACCAGACAGCCCGAGTTCGATTATCTGAACTGATCCTGGGCCCCCCCCCCCCCTAGTCAAATGAGTACCTAGTGCGGTGCGTAAAACAGCTATAAACTATTTTTTATTTACCAGGTAAAGGCACCACTTAGCTGCATAGCTTTCGTTAAGAAGCGAACCTGGCCGCACGTAATGATAGCCCAACGGAGTGGCCCTTTCACCGTGCGGACATTTACGGGTCTACTACTGCAACGGGCCGTGCCGCTATGCCGCGAATTCCTCCGCCCGCGGAGTTTGTTCTGTGCCGTGTTCGCGCGTGCGAGCACACCCAGCATGGCACAAGCGCCGCGGTGACGTCACCGCCGCTCAGTGATGATGAGCGGCGATTGTTGGTGTGAGCGGGGAGGAGCGGTGGAGCAGCTGCGAGTGCCCTGCGCTACGAACCCGGCGACCCGGGTTCCATTCCCACTCACGGCCAACCAACGCCGGTGACAATTATTCTGAACCGGTCAATGGGGCCTCGCCAATGTCAAATCGGCCTCAAATGAGCACCTGGTGCGGCGTGTAGTAAACATCGCCACTGGGGAGACAAAGGCGGCCGGGCGGGCGTGTTGCCGGCCACCCACCCCCTTCGCGTGTCGTGCCGGCCTTCGTCAGGCTCTGCTACTCGCGTACAGCGCTTGCCCCCCGAAAGTCTGCTAAGGCTACACGGCGTGGGGGGGACCTCTGTCTTTGTAGCGAACGCCCGGCTGCTCATGTCCGCAACGCCGGCGCACA